CCTTCTTGACCAGACCTATGTAAGTGCCATTGTTGGTGAGATTCCAAATCGTCAACAGAAACGGATGAGTCGAGGGGCATGGTGTTGACCTAAGGTTCGGTTATAGAGACAACATCCAGCTCATTTGGAGAGTGACTGATCTAAAAATGTTGTTGATAACAGAACAAGGCAGAACAGAACAGAATAGAAGGCAACAGTTGATGTGTTCACGAAGAATGTTTATGATCTGAGGTGTTTTTTCTTAATTAAGGTAATTATTTAGCCATTAAAGGAGTGTCGTTGGTAAAGTAATTACAGCATCGGCAATTTAAGTGTGGTTGCTATGGCAACGTCAGCGGGGAATGTTGGAGGAGTCTGTCTGCGGAATGGGGGGGGGCATAAATGGCCCCGGACAAAAAAATGCGGGGGCCGATTGCTGTCATTTGGCACGTAAACGAAGATCTTCGACAAAAAGTACTGGTTAATGGAGTTGGATAGACTACGGTCTGGATCAGTTAGCCTCAAACTTCGCATCCCATTGCTCCCACCCTACGCCGACGCCCGCATTCTGCTCACTACGCAGTTTTCCAAGGGGTCAGCCGTGTAAGCGGGCGATGGCACTGTGCCGCTATTGGATAAATCATGCGCCGCCATTGCACTCTTCAACCAATGAATTGCAAGGGCACTGCTGACGCGCTATCTGGCCACCCAATCAGCACACAGCACGCCAAAACGCACCAGATAGAGGAGTTCCTTGCTCCCCTTGTCGCTACAGTACAGCAAAATCCGCCAGTGGATTACTTTACCTAATCGCTTTCTCGGCATTATGTTTCCAGCCTAAGTACATCTTTTGTCTCGTAAGTTAGCTGGCTGGAAATTTGGCTGTACCTTCTCCTTGCCGCTGTGGGTTAGAATCCCACCGAGGTCGAAGAGTTGTGTTCTCAAGTGGGTTAAATGAATTATCCAAATCCACCGAAATTCTCCTACTAACTTCTGTCCAATCTCCTGAACTGATAATCCGTTGCTGCACTCCATAGCTAGTTCAGTGATAGGCTCGGGCCATGGGCAAATACCGCTGTTTTCGTTCACCTTTATCTGCCCACGAGGCTTAAATCTTTTAAGGTCATGGCCCTGTAGGATTAAATAATGCTTTAATTGTATAGGGACGGACAAAAACTTATCGAAGGAAACTTCACTTCCGCTTGCCCTCAACGGGAATGTTTTTTTTTACTGGACTACGCATCAGCATCAGTCCTATGTAATAAATTTAATTGCTCCAAGAAAATAAGATTGGCCTGTTCACAACCTTTTCTATAAACTCCTCACCAGCACACAATATGTGTTTCTTGAACGTGGTGCCATTTTCGACACAGCAGACGCCATACTCGCCCATTTCCTTGCTGCCTTTGAATCAGTTCTTCAAATAAGAAAGGCATCGGAAGAGACCAAAGATTTGATTCGTCACCAAACTTCCTCCTTACTCATGCGACACAAAAAGTCTAAAAGCCGATAAAGAAATTATTATTTTTGCAGCTGATAAATGTCGTGCCACAGTAAAGCTCAGCAGGCCAGATTACCAGAATAAAGCACGGAGCTCGCTCGATGACCAGCAATCTTATAATCTATGCCGTGCCAACTGCAAATCTGATCACTCAGGTAGACGAAAGCCTGAAGAAGCTGAGGACCGTAACTGGTTCAGTTCACGAATTGAGGCGAATGTTCGCATTCCAGGAACGTGTATATTCTGAGAAGAAGAAGAGGAAGAAGGATGATGATGATGATGATGATGATGATGATGATGATGATGATGATGATGATGCTGAGGATGATGATGGTGAGGATGATGATGATGATGGTGGTGTTGATTATATTTATGATCGAACACTGGAATCATAATTTTATTAGCCTGAACTGATTGACCTTTCCCCTACAGAATATTGCTTGTTTTCGTTGATGATTTTATT